TGCCACGATCGCAGCTCCCTGCAGCCTCGAACTCCTGGGTTCAAGAGATCCTCACACCTGCATCTCCCGCCCCTGGCACGATTCCTATTAACTGCCTGATTTCCGCTCTGTTCATCAGTGGCTGTTTTCTCAGATTAACCCTTATGTTTTCCAGGTCTTCCTCGGTCCATCAAGGGCATTTTCTACGTTCTTGATTAGAAACCTTCTGGTGGGTAAGTGTTCCCACGTGTTACCGCGTCCTTGCCGCTGCCCCTCGGCCTGTGGCACTCAAACTGTGGGGGCACTTTCTGGTCTATGGTGAAAGTGCCGCCATTTTTTGAGTGCTACCGACTGAGGAAACTCAACCTGGGGAAGATTCTGGGCCGGAAGTGTTGCAGGTGGGGCTGCTCACCCGGTGGCCCTCAAATGTGGAGCACTCTTCCCGGTGTCCAGGTGGAAAGTGCTGCAACATTTGAGCGTCACCGGTGACGCCGGGTCGACAGATGCCGCGGAGCTCGGTCTTCTGCTGGAACCAAATAACCTGGGGTTTCGATTCCCACCCGGGAAGTGTTTTGGGTGTACGTTCCGTAGAGCACCTGGGTGTAATGCCTCCGGAAAACCTCGGGAGGGAGCTCCTGAGCTTTTCACTTGGCAAAACTAAGAAAATTTGGGTTCGATACTGAGGAAGGGAACGTTTAAAGAGCAGCTGGGATAGAGGGGCTGGATGCACAAGGAAGGAATGGAATGGTTTTTGCTGTTTAAACCTGAGTAACTTTCCTCTTAACCCTGTATCATAGAAATTTACTGCTGACATTTAACATGTGTTTGCCTGATGGAGGCCAACCTCTTGCAGGCAAGAAAGGTTCAGTGGTGGCAGATGAACACCTCATACTGGGATACCCAAAATAGAGGCACTTTTCTTTTTGTCTGTACTGGAAAGTGCTTCCATTTTGGGGAATCCCTGTGTGAACAGGGCATCAGAACCAATCCTGCTTCAAGGCAGCCTGCCGGGCCACCCTGCAGCTCTGACGGCAGCTTCTGCTCTGACCTGGAATTCCGGGGTTTCCGTTCTGTGGGTTACCAGTCTGTACGCTCCTCATTGACACTAAGTTTTCTGGAGTGGGCAGGAAAACATGGGTGGAAAAGCTTGAAAGGGCATTAATTGGCTGGGTGCCGTGGCATGTATTCCCGCACTTTGGAGGCATGACTGAAGCTTCCTTAGTGATTTAAGTAAACTGCATTAATACTTGACAGTGTGCTTTAGAACTTTGAACTTAAATTTTCCTTTTCTTTTTGTTTTTGTTTTTGTTTTTTTGTGTTTTTTTTTTTTTTTTTTT